CGTTGATGGCCTCTTGTTTGGTTGGAAATAACTTCAAGAAGGTGTCGATGATAGCGACCTTGTCCGATACTGGGACCTTTTTCCAAGGTTTGAAAGCGTCGACTGCATTCTGAACAGCATTGTCAATGTCCTTCTTTGAGAGACAATGCACTTCAGCAATGGGTTGTTGTGTTGTGGGTGAAATAACAGTGATAGACGACATGTTGCAAGAGAGAAAAACAAACTAAAGTGTGCGCCGTCGGCCCAAATGAGTGTTTCGTTTGAAAGACCGATGTTATGAAGCAGTCATAGAGTTGCAGCCCAAAAAAGGCTCGGATTCTGCTAAATTATCTGTTCTTTAAAAAAAAATATCCTTGATTCACTCTGATGGAACGGATGACAAGAAAACGCTTTGTCATCTTGGGTCTGTCCTTGGTGACAGTTGCCCTTTTGTTGAGTGCATTGAGTCATCCTGCCATCTATCCTGCCAAATTAAGCAGCATCGTCAACATCGGCGACGATAGCATCGACACAGCCTTAGACAAAAACATCGATGCTAATGTCGGCACCAGCCTGGATGAACCTGAAGATGCACCGGTCGAAGTGAAATCAGCCCCGACTAAGCAAGAAGACTGGACTCCTAAAACCTTCCCTGCCCCTGAAAAGAAGGTGCTGGATATGATCAAAACTAATGTCATGAACGATAGTAAGGACAAGATTTTGTTAACAGCAGTGGTGAATAGCGGAATGGCCGATTATACTCTCAACTGGATCGAATCTCTCAAGAAATGTAATCTTGAGAACCACTTTTTGGTGTTTGCTATCGATGACGAATTGGTGGTCCAGTTGACCGAAGCAGGCTATGGCGCCCACGTCGTCAAGATCCCTGACGACTGGTTCCATAAAAAGCTGAGTGGTGATTTTGCATCATGGAAAGTAGGCGACTATACTCCTATCACACACTCCAAGTCTCTGGTTGTTGAACGACTTTTATACCTTGATATCACCGTCTGGTTCTCAGACGTTGATATTGTCTTTACCAACCCTTCTATTTACCACTATCTCCTGCTCAAACTGAAATCACGCAAAGATGCCAAAACGAAACAAGAATTAACCGAAGTGTTGTTCACTCAGGAACTTGAACAACGCCTGATTAACAGTGGTTTTTATCTGATGCGACCGACCAACACCAACAAGCGGATCATTGCCGACAGCATTGATATTCAGGACAAGGAGCCTCAGGTTACACAGCAAACGGCCATGAACCGAATTCTCGACGACATGGATTTAGGCTATCATTCCAGCCCCATTGCTCTTTTAGATTTGGCTCTCTTCCCTCATGGTCGTTATTATTTTGAAAACAAGGTTCCTACCAAATTTGAGATGACACCTATGATGGTCCATGCCAATTACCGTAAGTGATTTCAAGCTTCGAACCATATTTGGAAAATGACATGCTAACTAGGCCATCGATAGGGCAAGGCCAGGAAAAGAAGGCGTCATTACAGGAAGCTGGTCTGTGGTACCTACAATAAGCCCTTTGTGTTTAAATCTTGTATTATCTTTTGTCATTCATATTCTTAAAAAAATCTTCCCATTATTAAAAGAAAAAAGTAATGCGATACATGTTATTTGCCGACTGGAAATCTTACGAGGAAAACAGAACAGGTGGTGGGTGGAGGTTTCTCATAAAAGTCCGTAGCATTTTGTACCGACGGTTTCCAACTCCGGTAAAAGTGCTGTTGCCACCACATTTTAAGGAGGTACCTATTGTTATGTATAAACCCACTGTGATAGTGGTTCCAGCCAAGATTGCTGGAACGATCCAGAAACACGTTTTGCCAAGTGGAAAACCAAAAAAATAAAAAAATAAAAAGGGTCGGAGAAGTTCACGTGATTCTAAACCAATCAATTCATGAGCGAAGATTGTCCAATTATGGCAAAACACCACTCTAGGATTTTTTTTCATAAATCCTTGATCCAGTCCTTTTCTACATTCTCTCTTCTATCTTCTTACTTTCTTTTTTACATTATGCAAGAAAATAATCCTATACCACAACGTTGCTCACTAGTTCGACCACCATTGTTCGATTCGCTTCCCTGCTTATCGTCTTGGAATTGTGATAAAAAACCATCACCTGAATGTACTTCAAACACCACCGCGGCAGCACCCCCAGCTTCGACTTACAGTGGATCAAGTCGAAGTAGTAGTATCAAAAGCACGTCTTCTTCACTTTGCCGACGTCAAGTTCGATTCAGCTCAGAACCACCTAGTGTTCATTACTTTGAATATGTCCATGAAGAAGAGAGTGGTCCCGAGAAGGTCACACCAGTAGTAGAACCCCTTATGATCTATTATCCGCCACCTCGCTGCTCATCCATGTCTGACCACGTAAAATCCTCTCCGAAGTACAATGGTAAGTAACGAACGTTATAGGCAATCTTGTTCTGGCGCAAATCGCTCACTTTTTTTTTCTCGTTTTCCCCAATGCAGTGCTGCCATCTCCACCGGCTTCCCCAAAGTCAAGTCCGACGCAGCAGTTTTCTCCCACTGATCCCAAGCACAGCTTGCACCATACTTTCAAATCATGGGCCCGCAGGTTCTCTTCAGCCTAAGGTCTAACAATCCATATACCGTCGTTTTTTATTTTGTTTCTCTTGGTTCAAAGTGTACAAAAAGTTCCTCATTCTACTTAGTTCTTTCGCATGTTCTTTTTTGCAAATAGTAACCTTCCTAATAGCTGGTGTATCCACCGACCTAACCAAAAATACATATCCTCACCCCACTAATGTTCTACGTACACAATGATCCCATATCTTTAGCAATTGTTGCTTCTATAATACACTGATCTGTTTTATTTACATTTTGTTGCGATATTCAAGTGCCTAAATATTTATCATTTATGATTAGAAACAATAACACTTGCCAACACAGTTCTGATCCACTCACTTGTTTCCGAAGGTCACGCTCAGTGTCTGAAGCCTTGAGGGCACGAGTCATGTAGCGTACGTTTTTCGCAAGGTTATCTTGTGCCTTCTTTTCGTCCTTGTGTACCAGCCCTAAGGAGAAGAAGCAGCCAGAAACGGGTTTTTAGTGTTGGACATGAGCCTTTTTAGTAGACCTCCCGTCTGCAAACCTTACCTATGGGATTCTGTCTACTTTGGGCCAAACTTTCCTTGCTGCGAATTTTTTGTTGGTGTCCATATCGTATCTCTTGTTTGATGCGTTTCAAGCCTGTTTTGGTGGCTGGCAATTTGAGTCGTTGTTTTTTGTCCACCGGTGCATTCTTTGACTTTGTAATCTTGTGGGAAGGTGATGCCTTGAGGAGTGCATCTAGAGAATTCCGCGCTAATTTGTTGGAAGCCATTATTTGGGAATTAGCCGACACGAGGGAAATGGGTAATGGGGAATCTGACGATTAAGCTTGTACCCAAAAAAAAAAAAAAAAAATTCAATTTGATAGCCTGCTGCGTCCCACTTGGGTGGGCGGGTGGCTTGTTAGCGGCGACTGTTAAGAAACTTCTTGCCACTCAACCGACCTGAATGGCAAGCCCACTCGTTTTTATCACTCCTTCTTGGTATTCTCACTTTTATTTAAAGAAATGATGAGCATTGTGCGGTGCATTTTTATTTGCACTATCATTAACTCAAATGTTGCACTAATTTAACGCTGCAAGGTGAAATTTTTTGCACCTGCATCTCCTATTGAAAAAAAAAAATCGGTTTACCCTCAAGCGTTTCAAAAGAGCCTGTTTAATATAGGCTACTCATGCAATGTGGTTATTTGCTTGCCTGATTTGTTCATCAGCAGCAGGTGAACTTGTTTGTGCATGGCGACTTGAACCACAAAGTTTTAAATGCAATGCAAGTGTCTAGCGGATTGATTTTTTCGAGTCCAATAGAACGAGCTTGAATGTCGTGTGTTCTAAAAGAGTCTCCTCATTTACGGCTTACAGTACGAATATCCGTACAACGTAATGTGAGAGCATCGGCAGCGGAATGATACCATTTTTACAAATTTTTTTGGACTAGAGCTTAACCCCTGAATCAGCCCACCTGTCCAGTCTGCCGTTGTTCAACATAGGCTGTATTCCACTCCACCCACATGGCTGAATGTTTCAATTAATACCCCTGCCTAATTTCTTTCTCTAGACTAAAACGCAATGCGCATGGTATATTGGAAGGCGACAAACCAGATCACGGTCTTCATGCACTGAATGGTTCCGAGACATTGCAAAGCACGGCGTACGTCTGCCGAGCATTAGTATTGATGCACACTTGAGACATTTTTTGGTTTTGCGTACCTACATTAAGTCAATAGAACGCTCTCTCGTCTAACAAATTTTCATCGCACTCATGTTTCCCTTTCGGTTATTTTCCGTAAATGCATCTTTTAGCTTCGTTTGAGATGGTAGCGTCTTTCATCGAGCAATTAATGTTGTTTCATATCGACCCGATTGGCGTGTTATACAAAAGGTAAAAGTTTGAACCAACATACTTGAAACTATGGCCCGTGAATGGTATCAAATTCGTCAATTGTCGTTAGTTATAACAAAGGCTTGGTGATCGACAAAGTTTCAGCTTCACAACTCGTGCAATCACAAAGTTCATTCCGTTTCCCGCTGATAGCTCTCATGGTCTGGTCAGTTGCGAAGAATCATAAAGCACCCAGAAGTCAGCCCTTCTTTTTTTTGAGTTTTTCAGGTATCTGTGAGAAACAGCGCTCATAAGTTTCAGGTAGAACATCCTATGACTTATAACACTGATGAAGTCAACAGTTGAAGACAAGCTCCGTCAACAGACAATGTCATCCAGTCATCAAAAAGAGATATATTGATATAAGCTTTGTCAGCGGCATTGATCTAAGTAGACGTACTTGTGGCAGTATCTAATCAGTCGCATAAAGAATTACTAGGTTCAAAAATCAAAAAAAAAAATTGTGTGCATACAGCGCAGCTACATTAACACTCCGCATCCAATCAAAATACATGCTAAAACCAATAAAATCAAAAAAAGAATGTTGCGATTGCCAGTTTCGATCTGGCGACCTCCAGGTTATGAGCCTGGCGCGCTTCCTCTGCGCCAAATCGCATCGACTTGGAAAGTGTTCTACCAAATAATATTTATATTAAAACACAATGTACTAATTTACTAAAATTTTATGTCACAAATTTTTTATTCATAAATCATCTATTAAACGCTTTAAAAAAATGTATAAATCAGCTCTAGATATTAAAATGAAAATTAAAAAATAATTTGTACATTCAGTTATAAATTTTTTTGGTCGTATTCTCGCCACACTGTGCGAAGAACTTTCGGTAGTCGACAATAGGACGCAAAGCGTTTTATGTATAGATGATGAATGCTGGTGTTTAACATCCTCACTTCCTGAGTATATATTTCGTTTGATATGTATAACGTATCAGTTCAGTAGCTACATTTGTTGATAGGCTTTATAGTAATAAAAAGCAATCAATATAGGCTTTGGCGCTTAAAATCGGATTGTATCTCCTAAGATGGTCTGAATTTTTTTCTCAACCAATATTAAAGAAAACCACGTCGGTTAAAAAAAAATATAAATGCAGTAAATTGCAAGTACCCATTTTTAGAGTGGCATTATAACTTCTTGAGCATCACAGCATCATAGCAAAGCGTTTGTTAGTTACATAGGAGTAAAGGATAAAAAGGATCTCAAACTTTTGAATCAGTTTTTTCGAGACCTGCGTATAAGTGCAAGGTAGTTGCAGTAGTACGATTTCAAATTGTCGTGAACAGGATGTAGTTACTCTTCGCATTTTGCTGGTACTGTTGAGATTGCCAAGTTCAATATTACAACGTGAAGCAAAGCAAAACCAAGATTATATTATATTTAAGACATAAATTTATGTTTTGGTCAAACGTACTAGGCGCTAATCACAAGAAGCCACCTCTACAGTCACAATTGATAATATGGCAGCTTTGCTACTTTTAAAAAAACATAGTGTACAATGATACTAACGTTAGCAACAACTTTGCGCTATACGAATTATTGTAATGCCTAAAAGCCAGAGATATAACGAAGTCAAATGCAACAGTATCGTAAACTCACTGGACCTATATGTACCTTCAATCACTCAATATGGTCTGTATCTATATCAAATAGTATTTGAGCGTCTATACTTTGATAAATTCTAAACGACATTGACTCTACTATCTAATAGTATATTTTAATAATACAGCTTTCACCCTTTGAACCCCTGATTTATCAGTTGCTTTGGCGCTGCTCAAGAGTTCTACACACTTTTTACTCGTTCTTTTCGCCTTTTTTATTATTATTTATAAATCGCTGTGTTCTCTATCCACATCTCTACAAAAATAACCGTTGAATATCCATGACATACCACTAATATCTAGTCATATGTAATGAAGTGCCGAACTTGGGAATCTCATCTCCTTCCTATCAAGCAATGCTTTCTTGTTTTTTATCTTTACAGGATAGAAAGCGTAGGTACTAAGATGACACAAGCCCTGTACTCCATCTCTTCCCTTATTTAAAATACGCGTAAAATGGCCCATTGCATAGCGTTCCTGAAAATCAATTGGGTGCCATGAGAGTAATGCAATAAGATCATCTGAAAATGGGGCCAAGATTAACAAATTGCTGCACACATCTCCACCTAAAATTGTCGATCAGAGACTATAACAACTGGTCATTTTCACTTTCCTCTCCAAACAAGAAAAAAAAAAAATAGAAAGAAGAAAGCTCTTCTCACATGTAGGCTTCAACTTGCTAAAAAAAATTTGCCAGTTGAAATTTGCAAAAATGGGCTTCGCCGGGAATTGAACCCGGGACCTCCCGCACCCTAAGCGGGAATTATACCACTAAACCACGAAACCCTGTGATGTCGGTTGGACCACCAATCAATACTTATGCTGCAAAATCAAAAGCCCCAGGTCGCACTGATAAACCAATGTTACATCAACCACACATCAGGCTCTACTATAAAGATATGATATTTATTTTATATTAAAGGTATTATGAGTTGTAAAAGTTTAGTTTACTGATATACCGTATAAAGCGCGTACTTAGTACTTATCTGTCATCAAAATGAACGTGTTAACTGCATCCATGTTGTATGAAGTTCACACAACTTTAGCATGAAACATTCGTTACCATCTCTGGATCATAGAAATAATTGTTTTTTTATATGAGGCTTTAAGAGTTTAAATATGGAAGATAAAATATATGTCCATATACTTTATATCTGTATATTGTGCATTTTCTTCAAAAGATGGCCAGCCCACTGAGTTCCTATTGTCTGCTCTGAATTATTTTTTGTTTTTATATATTGTCACCCTCAGTTTAACGGTTATTTGTTCTTCTTTTCTTACGAGATGCACGGAATTAGCTCTACCCACCTGTGTCAAACGTCTCCTCATTGCGGCATTTGAAAGCACATTCCTTAATGCCAGCAATGTCACAAGTCGGTTCAAAATGAAAGGCTAGCATTACCAGAATGCTGACTATCTGCATTTTTTGAAAAAGGTCCACATATTAAGACTGCTATACACCACCAGCTTTGTAGGTAGCTAATAGCTTTTCTGAAATTAACTGGTCCGACCAATTACCGTCTACTATAGAAGTCATAAAGCCACATAGCGTTCTTGCTTGCTCCCTGTCAACTGCAACCACGATCTTCTGGTCCACAGTGATGAACGGCCTACCATCTATGTTCTCAACAAATAGCGCGCTCTTTGTCCCAAATAGAGGCGCAGCACCCTTACATCCCGTTACAGTCGACACCAGTAAAAGGTCGTGGAGGTGTGGAGGAAACATAGTGCTTTTCTTTACTTTGTGCCCGACTAGGATCGACGCAAATATTACAGTCGTAGAAAAAACACCAAACAAACCAACCATCCATACATTCAGCACCATTCCTGAATTTGTTTGGTGGTACAGCGAAGGCTCTAGGCTACTGCAATCACCGTGGTTTGTATGCCAAAGGACTTGTATGCTGCTGTTTGTTGTATTGGTACTTCTGTCACCCTGGCTAGTTTGCTTGATAATAGAAGCGTACGCGGAAGCTGCGGTAACGATTGGCGTGAAGAATACACCGACGGCCAGACCTCCGTTGAAAATCAACCATATGATTGTCATCTTGATAGTTTTCGCTACTGAGGCACCTCTTTCGAGAAGATCTCTCTCTTCCTTGACAATCTGCTTGACTTCAGCAAATAAAAAACTCATATAGGATACGTTGAAACGGTAGAGTTGTGATTCGTTCCCTCTGTAACCGCACATTTTTTGGATCACCGGCCTTGCAGCCAAGCTCATGGCGTACGATATGCACTGTAAGATAAGAATGCCAAGTGGGATAGTTACGAGAAAGTCGTCATATGAGGCTGGTGTAGAGCTACACGTAGCAGTGGTCAAATTGTAGTCCATGAAAAATGGGTATGAGCAATCAAAAATGAATGCAGCCCGGAGGTAAGGAGAGGAAATTCTTGTCCATTTTTATCTTTTTTTTAAATTTTTAAAGAGATATATTGATGCCAGTCTCAAAAGTATTGGGATTGCGAAAGAGGATGTTCCAGAAATTTTGTGCTGAGCAACTCCAAACGCCCAATGCCTTACTGCCTGTGACTTTTGCGGTTCCAACGGAAGCTGTGCGCAGCATAGAGGTGGCGCGTGTGTTCCAGTTGCAAGGACTACATAAAAATTTTCATCATCAGGAACAAGCCAGCATCACATACGAAAAAATCGAGGACTCACTTTACAGTGCAATGCGCCAGATGAGCTATACATACTTTCGAATACACACCAAATTCCACTTCAAAGCCGATTCGAGCTAAATTTCCTGTAGCTTAATGTACAAATTTATTTTTTTCCAGTTCAAGTTTGGCTCTCGCACTTCAAATCAACTTTAGTAGTGAATGATCAAATTACAATGTGTGGATTAAACATTATATAGAAGCGTAAGGGTACAATGTTGATTTACATATTCACACTTGTGCGCCTATATCATCGATTGTCAAGTATCAAATTCACTTTTTCCCAATCAAGGTCTTTGCTAAGTGTGATCAAAAGCTTATCACCGACCATGACATACGGTTCGCCATCTCGTTCTTCCACACGTAGTGTTCCAGGCGGCGACAAAAGACTTTGGCCCTCTTCGGTCTTTGACGTTGGTGAATCGAACAACATGTCATGGAGGAGTAGAGGTATCCATATAGAGTACTGGTACATGTAGTTGCAAATGAAGGTGTATAATATCATGATCGAAGCAAACACAGTGAAACCCAACAGCATATATACATTCAAAAATATTCCAGAGGACGTTTGATGTAGTAGCAAAGGTGCATAGGTTATGCATTCACCTGAATCCAAGTGCCACATGATTTCAACCATGGTTGTTTTGGAGTTGTCGTTCGTCAAAACGACCTTCCTGACACTGGCGCTAGTAGCAGTTGAAGTCACAATGATAGTGAAGAATACATAAATCGCCAAATAACCGTTGTGGATAATCCACATGATAGACCGTCCCAAGTTCATGTACCATGTATCATTCCGATCAAGCTCATGGATGAGCCGTTTGAACTCACCGAGAACATAGGCAGGATAAGAGGTTTGAAAAGTATAGTATTGTAGGTGATTTCGTCTTTGATTGCACATTCTCTGGATCCAAACAAGTGCAGCTTGGTATAAACCATATGATATATATTGCATAAGCAGAACACTGACAGGCACGCTCACGAGGATACCTCCGTTAGTACTGGGTAAGTTGGCAGAGCAGTTCATTGCCCGCGTGAATGCCAATGAAAAGGATGGAGTGAGCAATAGTACGAGGGGTGGTTTTCTGGTGACTTTATAAGTGATGTTTGGCCGAAAGATGGAAGTTTCTCAAGCCTAGTTCGTTGCAGCAGGCAATGTCCAGCTTGGATATTCCAAAATTTAAAAGGTATATTTGAAAATCAAAAGAAGGTGAGACTGCACAAAATTCCTGTAACTAATGGATTGGTGGAAACACATTGATACAACCCATTGACTACTGGACGTTCTAATATATGAAACTGCGGACTAACAGGTGAAAATAGGTCATTAAAACAAAGCAG